ATAGATTTAGCAGTCCCGTTGGGTATGATGGTGGTAATGGAGGAAACACATCATCTTTTTTTAGCTCGGTGACTCGGAACTTGTGGGGCAATGGGGGGCTTAATTATGGAACAAATTCCCAAAGTTCCAGTGCTTACATGGGATCAGGAAGTGGGACCATTGGAGGAAGTACGTTTGGCAATACTGGAGTTAATTGGCGTTCTTCAGCAATTTCAGCTCAAGGTGGAGGAAATAATGTTTCTAACAATAGTGGGAATCTTGGTTATGGAGTTGGTGATAGCAGTTATGGTTTGGGAACCGGAGGTTATGGAAGAAACAGTGGTACAAGTGTGGCCCCTACATCTTCATTTGCTGCGTCAAATGGTGGTTTCGATGGGTCCTTCTCTGACTTTTACAATGGTAATTCTGTTTATGGAGATTCTACTTGGCGATCATCGAATTCCGAGCGAGAAGGGTCTGTTCCCTTTGGTTATGGTCTTGGCGGTGCAGCTTCTGATGTTTCAGCTAAAAGTTCGCCTGGTTATGTGGGTGGTTATAGTGTTAATAAGAGACAGTCAAACACAGGTAAGAAACACTTAATTACTATCTCATGCAACTTCTGTTTTTCATTTTAAAAAATGTTTTTTTGTTGATATATAAGGAGCTTTATTCTAAAAAATTTGTTTGAAGTTGACTACGAGAGGATTGGATCTTGAATTTGGGTTGACCTACAATTCTAGGGATAAATTCTGTCCAAGTGTGTAGGCTTTTTCCGTTTTGGTCCATATTAACTGTATGAATAGGGAAAGCCCTTCTTAAGGTTGTGCTGCAAAATTTTATTGAATTTTGTGACTGGGTAGCTATTTGCATGTTCGCCACATGGCTAGGGATGTGATTGTTACATTATGTACCCAGATGTTTCTTTACTTCATCTGTCATCCTCTAGCTGATTATCCACAGTGATGGCATCGTTTACTTTCCTATATCTTTAACAAAGATTCTTGGGAAGCTAGTTATTTTTACTGGTGAAGAGTGTATTTCTTTGGAGTCCAAGGGCTATTAGGTTTTTATGTGAGTTTAGTTAAGCAATGGAGAAACTGTGGGACTTTGAGATGAAAGGAAAAGGCTTTCAATGTTGGAGTACCGGTGAAATAATTTTATTTGGCTTTTTGGTGTTAGTAGAAGTTGTAGCTGGGCCAGTGAGCTTCTTGGCTACTTAACTAGATACAACCTTCTACCTTTTGGTAATTAGGGGGATGATTGTCCCAAATGGGTATTGATTGTGCAGGGGTGAAGCGACAGTCTACCATATTTATATTTTGTGGTATGTTGTTGATAAGGCATTAGGGGATCTCCTGTGTTCTTGCTAATGTGATTTTAAAGAATCTTCCGCTCCTTTGCTTTTGATAGGA